TCAGATGCTCAGGAAAACGTCTCATCACTGGTAGTGAGCCCTAGCTGTAGCTACAGATCCAAAACCTGAGTGCTCCATGCACTCCAAAGATGGAGGGGAAATCAGTCAAGCGTAGCCCCTGTCAAATCAGAAAATATGGTGTGCGCTTATGGTTTTTGTGTACATGCCAAGGCCACTTCTTGAGCTCCTTCAGCACAGCATTGAGTTCAGCACGCTTGCATCGGGATTCTGATACCTGCCAGAAAGCAAAGGCGCCACAAAGACTTGAAAGCGTTGCTTCACTTTGACCAAGGTCCGATGGGCCATTCGAAGAAGAAGCCAACTACTTTGGCAGTGGCTGGCCTTCGAGACATTCAGGTGCTGAATGAGCTCCGTGGACCACCGCGTGGCATCGCTCCTGAAGGTCCACCTCAAGACCGCCGTGAGATGACGATGCAAGAGAGGTGCAATGACTCCAAGCAGTGGGCAGCATGGGCTCCTGGTCTCAAGGTAGCTTTGGCGCTGGCTTTACAAGACCGTTTGCACCGTGGCATCAATCCATCCTCAGAAGCAGCGCTTCGTCCTTTGAATTCAACAGCCCTTGACAGCTGGCGACAGCACTACCTGCACGACCATATGCCTGCGCGAAGGGACTGTAAACATTGTGTGCAAGCTGCAGCTCGAAGCAAGCCGCACAAGCGGATCAGCCACCCGGAGGCCTTTACGTTGAGTGTGGACCTCTCCGGTAAGATGGTGGTTGGGCAGGATCAACATCGTCAAGGCTGTAAGTACATGATGGTGGCAGTCTACACCTTTCCGGTGGATAGTTCAGGTCGTGCGCTGGCAGATGTGAACACCGGCATCAAGACTGGGGTGGGTTCCTCGGCTGAAGCGGCACCTCCTGTGCCCTCCATCGACATGGAAGAATATACGCCTTCCGAACCAGGTGGTGAAGACGGGGAGGAGGTGATGGGTGAAGAACCATATGAGGCTCCGGAGGAGGGGACGCAGGAGCAGCGCGAAAAGGTCGTGAAGCTCTGGAAGCATGGCGGGCGAAGGTGGAGGAAAACCCAGATGTGATGGTCCGCAATCTCACGTTTGAGAATTGATCTCAGCACCGGTGCGTCGGTGGACGCTGGATCGTGGCATCACTACGACTTTGACCTCTGGTGGCAGCTACAAGTCCAATGGTCGTGTTGAAGGTGAATTGGGGGTCGTGAAAAAGCATGTCCGTACCATCCTCACAGCCACAGGCCTTGGTTTGGAGATGTGACCGCTCGCTGCGATCCATGTTGGGGAACGCCGCCTTCGTAGCCAACTCAGAAGGATGGGTTTTCCAGTGGGCCCCTTGTTGCAATTTGGTGCCCGGGCATACGCCCTCAAGAAGTCATGGCAAGATCGATATCAGCCGTGGCGAGAGTTATGTGATGAAGTGGTGGTACTAGGTCCCGCTTTGCAGTCTTCTATGACCACCACAAATTACTATGCGCAATCCTTGGAGACCAAGAAGTTCTTCTACACGGACGATTGGTGGTCCCGGCGGCCGATCAGCCGGAGGCTGAAGAAGCTTTGGTACATCTTCCAGTCTTGTTCGACCAGCCTGGACAAGCTCTCTGGGATGGTGAGATCCCCCGGAGGCGGCTCCGTGAGAAGACAGCTATACCTCAGTTGTCCATGCTCTGCATGGAAGGGGAGGAACGGGTGCAGCGATGGCTCCAGTCACATCAAGATCAGTTTGATCCAATTGCAACCATGCCATTGGAGGACGCCGCACTCCGCACGATGGAAGTGAGCAGTGACAGCTGGACTATTGAAACGCCGGAACGAACCTCGTCCAGTTCCAGTGAAGGGGAAGCCTCCCAACAGACCCAAAATGATGAAGGTTTGAAGGAGGTGGACTGGCATGGAGGAGGGGAGTGGGAGGGGGCGCCAAACAACCAGGATGGTGGCTCACGCCTGGTGGCCCCGCAAAAGCACCCTTTGTTGGGAAGGCTCCCCAACCCAGGATTCGAATCCTTCGACTGATTCAGGCGAACTTGGCGCAGTACATCGGGGAGGAGATGCAACTGGTCGATGTGACCAACCAAGATCAAGGCTGCTACATGGAGGTCCTTACGGAGGATCATGCAAAAGCTTGAAGTAGAAGAAACCCTCCTCAGAGCAGACCATGATGATCGAATGATCGATCAAAAGGAGATGGAAGAGGAGTTTCTGGTCACCAAGACGGTGAGCGCAAAGGAAGTCATGGAGGACTTTGAGAATTGGGCCCCGGCCATCACGGCAGAGCACGGGCAATTAGTCACAACGAAGCAGGCTGTAGAGCAGATCACAAAGGAGGCCCTGAGGGCCCGTGCAGCCAAGGAAGGAAAGACAATAGAGTTGCTCCCGGCCAAGATGGTGTACACCCGAAAAGCTGGGACCGGTACTCGGCGAGCTCGTGCCGTATGCTGTGGCAACTACTCCGAGAACAGGTTTGACGGAGATTGCTATGCTGGAGGAGCTGATGGATATCAGGTGAGGGCGTTGGTGAGGACCGCGGCTCTCAAGGACTGGCGAATAGCAGCCACTGACATCCGCGTTGCTTTCTTGAATGCCCCTCGTCGTGAAGATGGCAAATTGGTCGCGATGGAGATCCCTGCTGTGTATCGCCGCCTGGGTCTGGCCAAGGAGGGTGAAGTGTGGTTGGTGCGTCTGGCTATGTACGGGCTCACCACGTCTCCACGGGACTGGTCACAATACAGAGACCGCACCCTGCCGGTTGTCAGTTGGGTCCGGGTGAGGATGGAAAACAATCAGGCCAAGAGGGTCAGAGGCCACTTCATCAAAACGGAGGACGAGAACCTGTGGAGGATTGAGGAGGTCGACGTTGAGTCGGGTGAGAAGCACTGGACGGGGTTGATGTCTACGTGGACGACATCTTAGTTTCGGGTGAAGAAGCTACGGTGAAGGTCGCCCTAAGTTCTCTGCAACATGGACCACGTCAAACATCGAATGGGCTTCATCCACGTCAGCAGTCCATTTCTGCGGTTTTGAGATCACCCCGGATGCTGAAGGAGATGGTTTCCACATCGCTCAAAACAAGTATGAGCAGGAGCTTCTGGCCAGGTGGAATGTCAATACTCCCACGACCTTCCCCAACTTCAAGGTCGATGAAGCTGATGGTGAGCAACAGCCCGACATCGACAGGAATCAAGTCCGAGAAGCGCAGGCCCTGGCTGGTTCCCTCTTATGGCTGTCCACAAGGTCGAGGCCGGATCTTGCCTTCGTGTCGCAGCGATCAGCAGACTGGTCACTCGGAATCCGGCCAAGGCGATCGAAATTGGGTATGGATTGTTGGCCTATATGTGAAGGGCAATCCAGGTGGCCTCCACTATTCCAAGAACATCCAGAACAAGTGGGGAGCCAGAGATCAATTGAAAGTCCAAAGGCATGAACGCCTGCTGGAAGTGTTCGCGGACATCGCGTATGGCACCGGAAGTGGTTACAAGAGCATCCAAGGTTTGGTGCTATGTTTTGCTGGTGCACCAATAGCATGGCAGAGCTCCACCCAACCTTTCGTTTGCCACAGCACTGCAGAAGCCGAGCTGGTTTCGTACTGTGAGGCTTTGACGGCAGGAAGAGCGACGGAGGCACTCCTATGTGCTATGTGGGGGGAGCAGCTGACGGCAAACTCCTTTGAGCGGGTGATCTATGGGGACAATGCTGCAGCAATTGGCCTCGCTCACGGGAACAGCAGCAATTCGTGGCGGACGAGGCACTTGAGAGTCCGTTCCAACATCCTTCGAGAAGCCATTGAAGGACAACCGTCCTTTCCCGGCGGTTCATGGAAGCTCAACCACCTCAAGGGGACTGAGTTGGTGGCGGACGGCACGACAAAGCCGCTGCTGGGGCAGAGTTTTGAAGGCTTTCAGCGAGACCTGGGCCCCAGGTGAAGAGCCTGGTTGGTGGCAGCTTGCCGCCTCAAGCACAAGATCACGGGCGCTGCTGGTGGGTGGACTGCTAGTTCAAGCCGCTGAAGCGCAAGGGGATCAGGATATGGATACAGCCTTTGGTCGTCTATGGCTTTGTGGCCTAATGCTGGTGGTGATTGGGGCAATCTGGGTAATGAAGACGGCCTGCGCTTCGGTGCGTTGCTGCCTTCGTCGATTGCAAGTGCTGTCTAGCGAGATGCCTGGCTTAGACGATGAGTCCGGGGCTGAAGAAAGGATCCTGGCTACCTCCTCGCGTTTGATGCGACCAAGGATGCGGAGCTCTACTACCAGAATGAGGCTGCGGAAAGTGAGTCAGCAACCGAAGAAGAAGCTGATGGGCGCCCTTTCGATGCAGCCGAAGCCATGCTGATAGAGGGCCCGGGTCGTGATGATGATTCGAGGGTCGAAAAGGAAAGGGGGACTATGAGACGGCTGACGGCGGAGCTCTATGGCACGATCGCTGGAAAAGAAGGGGGGCTGCGAGAGCCCCAGCACACTGAGCGTTTCAAGTGAACGAGCTCTTCAAGCAGCCTGTGCCGCGGCTGAAGGAGCTGAGAAGGCGGCTGAAAATGCAGAGCTGGCAGCTCAAGCCGCGGAGCAAGCCATGGTAGCTGGGCAAGTCGCCGAGCAAGCGATAGCAGCTTCGGCAAGGCTGCACAAAGTGGTGGCGCAGTCGAGCCATCCTATGAACCTGGTGGTGAAGGCGCAGGCGAGCCATCAGAGAAGCCAGAGGAGTGAGCCGGTTCCTACGAACCCATGGAACCGCTTCCAGCACGACAATGCTGGCAAAGGATGGTCGGCCGACAAGATGCGAGCCGAATACTATAGAGCTAAAAGCTCTAAGAGAACTTGAATGCCTTGAGCCCCGTGTTTTGGACTTTTCTTCATGTCCATGCAATCCGCCAAAGTGGCGGAGGGGGAGTCTGTGAAGTGATGTGAATACCATGTATGCCCAATATGGAGGCATTTCTTGTTCGAGCTGAGAAAAGGTGCTTCAGTGCCTTTTGCCTTTCGAGATAGTAATTAATGAGTCATACAACATGCCAGCTATCATCCGTCCTCGTTGAAAGTCATGTCGGGATAAGGGCCTCCTCCAGGGGCGGTGCCCCCAGTATCATGACGATCAGGCTTGCCGTCGCTGTCTTTGTGCCATTCGTCATCTGAGAGTCAACACAACAAAAATGCAACCAGCAGCAATGCCTCTCCCTTTTAGCACATCTTGACACTAACAACAATGTCCGGACACAAACATTGAACCCGTGCTCCATCCAAGATGCTGAACTCGAAAATAAAGCCTCCTATGCATGGTCCACCTTGGCTTTCAAATGATGGTGAGCATGTGTTTGCTCAGGCAGGGTGATGCACCAAGTGCAACATGCTGACAAGGAGCGACCCAAAACAGAACTCTGACCGATGATCTCTTCCTCAAGAATTTCAAGGTGAAGCGGAGATGATTGAACTTTTGCCAATCTAGAGCAACAAACCTCCAATCAGTCTGGTGGCTCTGTGTGAAACCTGGCTCCTGAACCACGATAAAGAAACAGTCCGGTTTTGCCATATTCATATACAAAAATATACCAAAATGTCCAGCCCAAAACTTATGCTTGTTAATAATTCTTCCTTGTTTGCTGCTCCGTGAGCTTTGCAGAAAAGTTTCTGTTAGCTGCCGTGTAGCCTTCGCCTGCGATTCCTGATCTTCTCCATTCTTGTCTGCATTAAAGGCATCGGCGCCGTATTCACCTGGGAGTGTTGTTTTCCGTCTCGGGGGATCGGATGCACATCGATGCAAGAAAAACGGCCAAGCTCGCGTAAGCCAAGAGTCCGAAAAACATTGGCTTACCGGTGATTTTTTCGAAATCACGGAAGAGGTTGCCAAAACCTTGACAGCAATAGAATGAATGTGCATGGAGCAGCTCCACTCACTGAACAGCAAAAGGGGAGTTCAATGATGTTTGAATGGTGTTAAGGACTTACAAGTTACTGCCTCAGCCAAGCCTTAGAGGCTTAGAGCTAAACATGTGCTTTCTTGTTCGAGCGAACCCACGTGACTTCCTTTTTGCGCGCCATCTCGCAGCGTTGATATGCACAAGTCACAAAGTCTGAGGGGCTTGTTGCTTCTCAATATTGCTCCAGATCCGGACTTTTGTTTTTCTTCCGCGATGTGCATCCCTGGGCCATTTTGGATCCTTCTTTGCAGTTTCCATTGGGTGCTGGGGCTCCGTGTTTCTTGTGTAATCACCAGGTCTATTCCTGGTACACTCCTGATTGCCATCACAAGTCTGCACTCTGGCTCTCACTCCGGCGAGATCAAGAGCGTGACCGACGACCGAGAGGACAAGTGGTGGAATCGCAAATAAGGTCCGATGCCCTTTGCTCCTAGTAGCGTCCTTGCTCCTAGTAAGGCTAGGAGCCCCTAGTAGCGTCCATGCTCCTAGTAGCGATGCCAGGAGCCCCAAGTAGCCTCCCCTAGTAGGTTTGGCAAAGTCAGCTGAGGATCTAATCCCTCGGTATGCGTTGATACCCCAAAGGTCGATCTCTGGCAGCGAGTCCACTGCTTGGTCCAACTTACCCACGTCACCATAGATGGAGGCAATCGGATGCAAGCCGTTGTCATACCTTCAGAAGCCAATAGCACTTAGCAATATGTCTCACGCAATTCACATTGAGAGTCATAAGAGTTGTGATCTTCTCAGCTCAAATCTGGGCAAGCCGCTTCTTCACGACCCTTGCCACATCTCGGATCTTGCCAACAGAGTCAAAGAAGCTGCTACCAACATAGAGGCCGTTGTAGTTCCATTCATTTCCTTGGTCACATTCATATCATTCATTTCACATTTTGCCATCATTTATATAGTCGAACCGGTTCTTACAACGAGGTTTCTTCTGTATTCCTGGAAAAGCACCACTGAATACTATAGTAATGAATCACTTGTTCTCTCTTAGGCTCCTTTAGACCTCCAATTTCTTTGTTTCGTTCATTCGTTCGTTCTTTACATATTATTGCTTTCCTAACTCCGTCCTTCAGCCTGTGCCCCTCCATTCTTCCTTTTTTGTTCTCTTTCCTCTAAGCGTCCAATCGTCCACATTAAAATTGCTGGATGATCTTTTGTAGCCTTCACAGGCTCAGCCGCTGAATCAGCATCTGCACCACCCCAGTTGTACACGCTGTTCACCACCCAAATTCCTTCAGCTTTGACACATAATACATTTCCAAGTTCTTCTTTAAATGCGCTAAAGAGACATTTCCAATGGTTCCATTCCTAGCGGGGGCAGGAAGCGGCAGGGGCAGCTTCCTCGAAGAACCCTCGCACAAAAGGTTTGCGAGATTATGGGTTCTTTGCGAGGGTTGCTCCTAGTAGCGATGCCCTTTGTTACTAGTAGCGTCCTTGCTCCTAGCAGTGAGGCCAGGAGCCCCTAGTAGCTTTCTTTTCCAGGAAACGGATTCCTTATACACAGCTCGAGTTTGGCGAAGGTAGCAACGTCAGCAACGTCTTGGCTTTCGTTTCTTGCAAGGCAAATCTGCAAGGTCTGGCGGCCTCTTTTCCACAAGGTGTCCAGGACATTCTTGTCAACTATGGACTCGTACGTGCGAACCTTACCGCGTTGAGGTGCAATGGCTGATCATGTGAAAAGATTTAGAAGCACGATATAGGCGATACATATATATATATAATATGCTGTAGACAGCGCCAGAATGGGGTTGCTTACACCTAGGATCTTGAAAGGAGCGTGGCATCCTGGTGCCATGCGTTCATTGAAACAAGAGGGGCCCTTGATTCTGCTGGTGGAGATTATATACGTGGATGCAACCGCGAGGCAGCATTGATGCCCATCTCTTGCATGAGCTTCGAGTCTTCATCTACAAATCGGGCGAAGTCCAAATCAGCTGGATGAACGCCACCTTTGGGCACTGGATTCCAGGCTACGCCCTTCAAATGTAAGGGTGCTCCATCCACAAGAATTTGATTTCCTTGGCAAAAGTGAAGGCTGGCAAGTTAAGCCAAAGAGACTCTAGCAGCAAATAGCGATGCTATAGTTTGCAACTCATCAGTCTATCAATGGCAGTTTAAGCTCCAACCACTTGGATTCGCTTTGTCGGTGATGGAGTTTGAGACGTCGTTGTTGTTGTCGCAGGGCACCCGGGTGGTGCGTTGTTCTCTACACATTGGCACAGTATATCGGAGGTGCCAGTGATTGCTTCATTGCAAGAGGCTTCATACTTCACTTCGCAGTTCTCATCTCGCTCTTCAGCAGCCCTCACACAAACTTGCCCGAAGCTTTCGCAATAGCGATCGCACCTGCCGCCATATTTTTCTGCCAAGACCAATGCCACGCAGTCGCCACAGGTTACTCCATTATCCACCTCAAAGCTGTCAAAATGTCATCATACGTTTATGCATCAAGTTGAAACCTGTTACCGCCAAGTCGCGTCGGGCCACTTGTCGAACTTTGGGCAGCACTGGTTATTGATCGGTTGTGATGTAGTAGGGGCAGCAGTTGTAGTAGTTGTTGTTGTAGTTGGCGGGGGGGGGGCCCTGGCCAGTCGCACTTGGGCTCATCAACCTTGCCGCAATAAGTTCAATGCAATCAAAACACATTTGCAACAGCCGGCAGCTAAAGCTAGACATGACCAAGACCCTTGACAGCAACATCCTTGGCCCCTATCAAAGCTATGCCACACTACGTCTTACCTGCCACTTATTTTACAATGGGGCGGCGGGACTATAGGTGGACCCCCCTCCTTCACCAACCTCCTCCGGAACCAAACATTTATGGACTTGCATAGTATAGTGTACCTTGTTACAGGCCTGACAGCATTGCTGGAGCATCCTTCACGAGCACAAAACAATATATATATATATAAATATAAAACAGTTGGACACAAGCAATATGATCAATAATGTGATCCTCTGATTAATAAACGCCCCTAGAATACAGTCAGATTAATAAAGGCCCCCAGAATAATATAGAATAATGTATTTTTTGGGAAGAGGGTTGTTGTAGTGGGATATGTTTTTTTGTGTTGAATTGGTATTTTCCCTTTTGGGTTTGCTGTGATTTAATCATTCTAAAGGCCTTGGGATTGATATTTATGCAAATTTCATCAGATTTCTATTGGAATTTTGGAGCTTTCCTTTGAGAATTGATGATCGAATTGATGGTTTTGCAGGTCTTTGGATGCAGATTTCTATTTGCATCAGCAGCACTGGGGAGAGTTCATCTTCCTTCTCCCATCTTTTTCCAACCTTTCTCAACCAGGTTAGTGCCTTGGAGTGCCTTAGTCAGGCCATCTGCAGGGAGCTCAGAGCCTTTGACATGGTGCACCGCCCAGCGCTTGCAGCACACGCAACTGCTGACCGCAAACCTGCAGCACGCAGGCGTAGGTGTCTTGTTCTCCACGCGCCCACATCACCCATGCACAGGCTCAGGGCGCTGCGGTTGTCACCATAGACGCACCTCTGCACATCCGATCTCGTGAGGCACTCAAGCAGAGACGCTACCCCCTCTGCTTGCTGGTGACATTCCATGTAGCTCAGCAACTCAGCTTCTGCAGTTGATCCACTAACAAACGGTTGTCTTGAGGATGACCACAACACTGCACATCCCGCAACTGCGACGATCGTTCCTTGGACAGATTTGAACTGCTCCCCCACTGGTGCAAATGATGCATCGGAGTATGCCTCCACATGCTTCAGACTTTGGTACTTAAGCTCACCCATGTCCCCGAAGGAAGCTTCCCCGTCACACTTTTCATAGTGTAGTCCCCAGTCAGCTGTCGCCTTCAGGTAACCAAGGAGTGCTCTTGCTTGAAGCGCCACGTCCGCCGGCTTGCGATGCATCTGTTGGCTGAGCACGCCCGTTGCGTGAGTGATATCAGGCCTTGTTCGACCTGACAGCCATTGCAGTTCACCGACAAGTCCTTGTGCTTTCGGAGGGTTGGGATGTCAAACTGTCCATCTTCCCCTTCTGAGATTGTCACACCCCTTTCTTCTGAGTACAGGTCCAGGATGTATCCCCTCTGGTCTTTTCATCGCTCGTCCGCGGTGGACTTGAGGGATTCTAACTGCCACCGTGCCAACACCGGACCACGCCCACAGACCAGCGACCGTTCGTAAGAAGCAGTGATGTCAGCACCTGGGCTGCATCACCGCAAGCCTCACCTGGTCAGCTCTGAGCTGCCAGGCAGGGCCCTCACAAACGGTTGTCCTTTGTTGGCCAGATGGCCATTGGAATCCCCAAAGTCCAAATTAATCAAGTCATGTCAAAACCACTGCCCCTGCAGCACCCCAGCCCACCACGACCGTGCATAGTACTTGCACTCCCTAGCTTCAGCCTCCTAAGGCTAGAACGCCCATCTTCTTTCCACAGACGGGCAACCACCGGAACTACACAAACGCCTTTAGTTACACATGCTACACTCCTCCTGAAAAGGGGTCGGTGGCACCCGGGCGAAGCCCTTACAATGTCTAGAGATTTGAGGTTTTAAAATTACATGGGTTGCAGCTTTACAAGAACTTATCTTGATTCCTTTTCTTTGTCTTTTGCTTTGCTGTACTTACCTTCTATTCCTTTATTAATCCTAAGCTCTTGAATCTTTAAGCTTTCCAAACACTTTTTCTTTGCAAACACCCTTATTCAAAAGCATTGAACAAACACATCATTCAAGCAAAGGGGGTAGTCCAGCAAGCAGCTTTCTTACATTATTTTTGGGGGCCCTAGAATAGTGTCCAAAGATTTGAGGCTTTAAACATTCATGGGTTGCAGCTTTACAAGAACTTATCTTGATTCCTTTTCTTTGTCGTCTGCTTTGCTGTACTTACCTTCTACTCCTTTACTTGTCTGAAGCTCTTGAATCTTTAAGCTTTCCAAAAACTTTGAAGTCTGTGCGCACTTTCGTTGCAAAAACCCTTGTTCAGAAGCATTGAACATACACAAAATCATTCAAGCAAAGGGGGTAGTCCAGCAAGCAGCTTTCTGACATTACTTTTTGGAGCCCTAGAATAATGTCTGGAGATTTGAGGCTTTAAAAATACGTGGGTTGCAGCTTTACAAGAAGTTATCTTTATACCTTTTCTTTTCCTTTTGTCCAGCAAGCAGCTTTCTGACAATATTTTGGAGGGGCCCCTAGAATGATGTCTAGAGATTTGAGGCTTTAAACATATTTGGGTTGCAGCATTAAAGGAACTTTTATTAATTCCTTTTCTTTGTTTTTTGCTTTGCTGTACTTAAATTCTATACATTCCTTTACTTTTCCTAAGCCCCTGAATCTTTAAGTTTTCCAAAAACTTTGAAGTCTGTGCGCACTTTCTTTGCAAAAAGCCTTATTCAAAAGCATTGAAAACACACAACACCATTCAAGCAAAGGGGGTAGTCCAGCAAGCAGCTTTCTTACATCATTTTTTTGGGGCCCTAGAATATTGTCTAGAGATTAGAGGTGCAGCTTTACAAGAACTTATCTTGATTCCTTTTCTTTGTCTTTTGCTTTGCTGTACTTACCTTCTATTCCTTTACTTTTCCTAAGCTCTTGCATATTTAAGCTTTCCAAAACCTTCCAAACACAGGATGAAATAATGCAAGGTCTTTGGATTCAGATGTTCATTGAAATTTACAGAGTTCCATGTCCAGTTCCATTGATTCCCTTTTATTGTACTATTCCAGATGTCTTCAATCTGAGGTTTCATTGATTCCTTTCAATTTAATATTGCCAGAGTAGCTCCACAGGTAGCTTAGTAAGGATTCTATATTTATCAGTTGATTGGTTTTCTAGTTATATCATTTTGGAGGCCTTGGTTGTTGAGGGGGGGCGGGAGGGGGTTGACTAATCAAGAGTCTACATTATGTCAATGCTGGAACACCTCCCGGGGGTGTTTCCTGTTGCGAATCGGTTGTATTTGTGACCAGCTTTGTAAAACTTCAGGACAGTCGCTTAGACGCATGTAAAATGTTTGCAACCAAGCAAGCCTAGGCTGAAGTGAATTTCGGAATTGGACAAGCAAAACATGCAGGGTCGTTGGGACAAAAGCATGCACCCGATGCTTCATGAAGTGCCACTGTCAAAGTCCGCAGCCCACTTTAGTGCATGTCTCTCTAGCAGCTTTTGCGGAATGTCAGTTGTACCTTTCTGAGAGCCACATTGTCACATCCATGATAGATTCATGATATGGTATTTCCGAACATGTCAGCAATGTGTCAAGTGTTAGTTTATTGTTCCAGTCAGTGAGTTGCATAGGCTTGATGAGTGTAAATGCCACAACCTCCCTTGAGGTAAGCGTGGGTAAGGGCCAGGGTTCCCCAGTCGGCCCAGCCAGCAAACCACAAACATCTACAAACGTAATGGATGCGACACGGACGCTCAAAACATTTGCGGGTCTTGATGGATAGTATATAGTTGATAGTGGTACATACCATGATTCCGGTCCACACACCCCGAAGCGGGAAGTAACTTGCACGGTGAGCTAGGGGGTTACGTAACTCATTACGCAAACTACACTTAGACTTAGGCAAGCCTATGCCTGTAGCATCATGTAATTGAGCCTTTCATTGAGCCTTTCTGCAAGCGTGGCACAGCTGTCTGGAGTCGGCAAGTGCAAAGCATGTCCGATGTCCCCTCGATGGGCTTGTCACAGTCTCAGCTTGGTTAAGTGCTTCAGATTCCGCTGACTTGTTGTCTTTCAAATGGCAGTCGGAACGTTTTAGCATTGCTGCTGCCAAGCATCCTTGCGAATATTTGATTGCGCCTGACTTCGCCAAGTTTGCTCAGCCAAGTGCCACGCAAACGTTTCGTGCCTGCGCATCCTTTAGTTTGAAGATTCCTCTCGGTTTTTTAGATCTATATATATATAGATATATATAGTATTTCACAACGAGTCTTCGTAAAGCAAGGCCAAGACTTGACCCCAAGAGTCCAAAGCATTAGCATGTGGCCAGCATAGTTCAGTCAATGTGACTGGAATGGAATATTAATATCCATCAATATCCCAATCCTTCACACGTTAATTAGATAACTCGCATATACTGTAAATTAGCCTGCTTCTCTGCGCGAAGATGGGTTTTGCCGAGTCTCAGTTGTTGTTGACTTCTTCTGCGGCTGTGACGCATTCATGCCCAAAGCTCTCACAATATTTGTCCTCAGGCACGGTAAATCTAACCGTGTGGAAAGCAAAAGTCAGCAACCTCAGGCTGGGAACCAACCCTGTCCGCCAAAAGGGCAAAATGCTGTACAGCATTGTACAGCTACTTGCTAGGTGGAGATGCCTTGAGCAATTTGGGCAGCCTCATTGGCATCTCGTGGCAAACAGTGACACACGGCTTCTTTTGCGGCAAAGCGTCACACCTGCCTCCAAAAGGCTCGGTCTTGACCAGGGCCATGCAGCCTGAACCTTGGCAATTGGCCGCCATCTCGTCAATGACATAATTACTGCTGTACATAAAAACCAGCCATAATAAGCAAAACAGTTGAGTTGAGAATCACAATGCACATGACATTCGATGTCGGCATGTAAGCCACTGACACTTGGAAACAAAGGATCAAATTGAAAACCAAGGCACACGTCCGTCCATCTTTCACAAATGGCCACTTGTCGTAGCTCTGGCAGCATTCGGTGCCAGGACTCAGATAGCTCTACCAAACGTACCACCGCCAAACATGGCCAGCCAATCTCTCCAACATGGAATCAAGTGATAAGAATCGCAGCCAAATCATGGCTGAATATGGTCTATATACATACAACATATCATGCACGTCTGCAAATAAGCTTCACTTCCGGGCCGTCAATGTCAGAATCAGGTCGTGCCCAAAAGTTGTAAGGGCTGCCTGGCTGCTAGGGATGCTCACTGGGAAAGGCTGTCAAGTAAAGGATATTACAACAGCAAAATTATATGTACAAATGCCATCTCGGTGCAGCATAGCACTTCTACCGAAGAACATTAAAACACAAACGCAAACGATAGGAACACCGTTGCCTGCAGTACATTTTGACTTTTGCACGTCCCTCAGTTAAGAAACATGGCAACCCAGGGCGCCATGGGAATTTGCTGCGAACAGTGGCCAGGAACTATCTTTTTGTAAGAATATTCATCCGATTAATATTCTTCCAATCCACGCACCAATTGTGCAAACACAATCAAACACAGTCTTCTCAAGCTGTAAGACTGCAAGACCATGCAAAGCATTGCAACGACTCTTTGCAGTCCAAAGTCCTCCTCAACCAACAGTTTCTTGCTGTGTCCTCGCCATCGCCCTGTGGCATGACAATGCCATCACACTTCTCCTCCTGCCAAAAACACTGATCATGGTGTTCCTTGCTTTGGCAGCCTGCGGCATCGTCCTTCAAGCATTCATCTTTGCATTGCTGAAGGGTCAAGCGGCCATCCACGGGATCCTTGCCATTTATGATCTTGGCACCGTGGCCTTTGTAGCCTTACTGCGAAACTCTTCACAACTTTGAGAGTGACGACAACAAATAGCAGAAATAACAAGCGAGGCATCAACATTTGTCCAGGGAACTGCAATGCTGAGAGATCTGATGAATATCAAGAACATCCACACGCTAGAACACATGAATGTCCATCAAATGTCCTTCATTGTGAAATTATATAAGCATTGAGGCGCCTTTCATCTCTTTCAAGTAAGAATTTTTATTGTCACCGGCACCTGGGGCCTCTGCCAAAGATTGTTCCAACCATTACGATCGTTATGTATATATATAACGTCCCTGTGGAATTACCGGTGAATGTCGAGAATAAAATTCCAATATATATAGTGATAAACCGAAAAAAACCACCTCAAAGGACAGAATGACCAACTATAGAATCAAATTTCAACCTAGTGCAGTGCTGAGAGCTGTTGCCTACAAAATTGTTTTGCTCAATAAATGCTGATGCCAAAATTTGGGAAAAACAATGATACAAATCCAAGGTTGAAGTTGATTATAGAAAATGATATAACCCAAGTGGCACAAGAGGTTGATTGTGATTATATAAAATTATATAAAGACATGTTTGGACACTGCAGGGTTGAAAATGATTGTAATTTTAAAGGTTAAACAAACTTAATCAAACCAACAACATGCACAAAATGATGCTATAGAGGGATGATTGGACAATGGAAATCTAAAATCCCAACACTGACTGGAAATTGTGCAGGGGGATGATCGAATGATGGCACCCTCACAGTTCAAAACCAAAGGTGCCCTGCGCATTGCAATCCGTTTGATTGACTTCCCCGTGACGCTACCAAGATCTACAATGTCTATCTGTCATGTGATATTTTTCTCAGCCTTCTACTACTCCAAATGCTGTCTATAAAACCAAAGCCTGCAGCCTCTATAAAGTCTGGTGCATTTTCATTCATGCCTTGTCCATAAAATGGAATAGCTCAACCTATTGGGCATCATGAAAATCAGTTTCTGAGTGCACAGGTGTTTAGGCTAGTTCCCCAAGCAGTGTGGACTTAGGGGTTCGTACGGTAGGTGTAAAGCACCGGTGTCTAATCGAGGTGTTGCGCCGGGCGTTGGGCTAATTCGCTGCTTTTACACTGCATTCAACCTCTCGAAATCTTCGAAGTGCATTTCGACTGCGCAGGCTCGCAAAATCTGGTGGGCTGCGGTGGGTGCTTGCCGCGACTGCGCTCTCGTTGTGGCGCCCTGCGCATTTTCGGACACGATGGTCACTTTTCGTGGCAGGTGCAAGGGAACCGTCGTGCTTTGGTGGTCCAAAAGGCAGCACTTTAGATATGGTGGTGATCTGGACGCGCTCTAATTTCGTGACAGGTGCAATGGATCGTGATTTTGCTACATTTGGTTCGTTTTCAGAAATCGTTGCGGGCGCAGCACTTGGTGAATGTTGAAGTGCAGATTTCGTGGCAGGTGCAGTACTTTGTGGACCTCGAAGTGCAGATGTCGTGGCAAACGCAGTACATTGTGGAGCTCGAAGCGCAAACTTCGTGGCAGGCACAGCACTTTGTGAACCTCGAAGCGCAGAGTTCGTGGCAGATTTCGTGGCGCAGTGCAGATTTCGTGGCAGGCGCAGCGCTTTGTGAGCCTCCAAGTGTAGATTTCGTGGCAGGCGCAGCGCTTTGTGAGCCTCGAAGTGCAGATTTCGTGGCAGGCGCAGCGATTTGTGCTTTTGAAATGCGCACTCTCACATACTCTCACTCTCATTCCCTCTCACTCTCACTCACCCTCTTGCTTTTCATTTTCCGTGTCCTTGGCCTTGTCCTATTCCTTTTCCTATGTTTCCTTTTCCCTTTCCTTGTCCTTTGTCTCGTCCGTTTTCGTTTCCTTTCCCGCTTCCTTTTCCTTTTGAGCTTTGTTCTTTTTGAGCTTAA